GGGGTTTGGGCGCCGTGGGGGATATTGAAAGTTGTGCCCTGTTAAGCTTTCAATGAGGCCATTATAACTTTATTAAATCAATTACGGTTTGCTAATATACACAATTTTCATCCGCTCAACAATTTGCACGTGCAGTCTCAATGGCATTCCACACTTAAGATAGCAACATGCAGCATTATTCAAATTCAGATGTGCTGATCCCTCTTACCCAGTATAAATGGCTACACTCCAAAAGATATCACCATTCAATAATCTTGTCATTTCTAACGATACTTCTTGTTTTATTTGGGCAGTGATTTTCTGAATGATTTTTTTAAACCAATCACTCCTGAAGCCGATCGCTTGAAATCTTTGAAGAAACATAAACATGGTAGGAGAATAAAACAACTGGAAAAGTTTGAGCTGAAAATGAAGGAAGAGCGACAAAAGAGAATCCGAGAGAGACAGAAGGAGTTCTTTGGTGAGATAGAAGTTCACAAGTACGTAACTTTTCTCTTAGCCCCCTTTATTGCCATTTTATTTTTGGAAAGTAGTTGATTGAGGATGATATCTATTCAATTATTAACCAAAAAATAAATACAGGGAAAAACTGGACGATGTATTTAAGTTCAAGCGAGAACGCTGGAAGGTTTTCAATAAATATGTGAAGGAGTTCCATAAAAGGAGGGAACGCATTCATCGGGAAAAGATTGATAGAATCCAGCGTGAAAAGATTAATTTATTAAAGATCAATGATGTGGAGGGTTATTTGCGGATGGTGCAGGTTGTCTTACTGTTCCTTAATTGACATGATGAGATTGACATATTATTCTTGTTCTCTTGTTCTGACTCTTCTGTAAATGTTTTAGGATGCCAAATCAGATCGTGTAAAGCAACTTCTCAAAGAGACAGAGAAATATCTTCAAAAGCTAGGATCCAGGCTGCAGCAGGCAAAGTCTACGGCAACGCGGTTTGAAAATGATATGGGTGAGACAGGAACCGGAAGCTTTCCTGACAAGAATGAAACAGCTATTGAAAATGAAGATGAAAGTGATCAGGCAAAGGCAAGTTCCCTACTCTATGCTTCTTACGTTAAGTTTTTATTACAAGTATTACTCCATTAGTAAAAGACAATAAGACTATTACTTATTCTGTTATTTATTTATTTTATCTTCTTTGCAGCATTATCTGGAAAGCAATGAAAAGTACTATTTGATGGCTCATAGGTATTAACAATTTATTGTCTTCACTTGTTTCTTGTCACATTCTTGGTTGCCATTTTTTTGATTCACCGTCTTTTATCGCATTGCAATATTTTGGTAATAGTTGCTGAATCAGCCTGATATCTCCATTTTCTTTAATGCTTTTATAACTTATATCTTCTTTCTTAAAAATGGAATTTGTTGGGTTTTTATTTAGTTCTTTTTTTGTTAACAAAAATGAAAATCCTTCCTTTTTTGTTCGCTGCACAAAATGAATAAAGTTTTGTTTTTCCTCTTGAAGAATTCTTTTTTCATTTTTTGGAAGGGCATGTGATATTTCGTTTTGCCCTAATCCCTAATAGAAATTGAATTACATAACTTTGTTCAGTATCTTACAATCTTCATGGTTTTTGCAGTATAAAAGAGAGCATTGCAGAGCAGCCATCGTGCCTTCAGGGTGGAAAATTGAGAGAGTGAGTATATACCAACTACATTAATAGTGTGTGTGTGTGGGTGTGAAACGTGGTTGTGGAGCTTCCTGTTCATAGTGATTCAGCAATAATGTTACTTTGTATCTATTTTTATTTTCATTTTTTTTTAATTCCATGTAATTCGACCTTCTGGCATTCAGGTATCAAATGAATGGTCTGAGGTGGTTGGTTTCACTATACAATAACCATTTGAATGGCATTCTGGCTGATGAAATGGGCCTCGGTAAAACTGTTCAGGTATGGGTTGACTACAAAATAGGGACCGTCTTTTTTTTACTGCATTCTATTTCTAGTTTACGGGTTTGGATCTGACTATATTTGCTTGCAGGTTATTTCCTTGATCTGTTACCTGATGGAAACCAAAAACGATAGAGGACCTTTTCTAGTAGTTGTGCCATCTTCAGTTTTACCTGGGTGGGAGTCAGAGATAAACTTCTGGGCGCCCACTGTGCATAAGATCGTCTATTCTGGACCTCCAGAGGAGAGGCGTAAATTATTTAAGTAATGACCGAAACACCAGAGAGCTACTTATTCTTTTTTGTTTCCTTTTTATGTATTAACTTTGCTTTTCCTCTATATCACAGGGAAAGAATTGTGCATCAGAAATTTAATGTTCTTCTGACGACATATGAATATCTGATGAACAAGCATGACAGACCAAAGTTATGCAAGATTCACTGGCATTATATTATAATTGATGAGGGCCATCGTATCAAGAATGCTTCTTGCAAGCTAAATTCGGACTTGAAGCATTATCAGAGTTCTCACAGATTGTTGCTAACTGGAACTCCGCTCCAGGTTAGAGGCTCCCTTTCTTGTTCCTCTCTCTTTGTTATTTTCACTCCTATTCCTGCAATATTGTTCTGACCACTATGGTCATTGTTAATTGGCACTATAAGAAAAAGAAAAAAAAATTTTAATTATTCATATGAGCTTTATCCTTGTCTTCTCCACAAGAAGAAACAAGCATTTTTACTGAGACGGCAAATTTACAAGCGGACTATTCTTTTTTGATGTGGACTCGTTGATTTGACACACTGAGTAATTTTTACCCTTTTTATGCAGAACAATCTTGAGGAGTTATGGGCACTATTAAACTTTTTGTTGCCTAACATATTTAATTCATCTGAAGATTTTTCTCAGTGGTTCAACAAACCATTTGCGAGTAATGGTGATAATTCAGCGGATGAAGTAAGTGATGTTTTAAGAAATTGATGTTCTTTATTCATTCTTCTTCTTTTGTTTAACTTGGTTATTCTTTATTCATCCTTCTAATTATTCTTTATTCATTGGCTGATAATTACGAGAAAGGCCTTGCTTTCTGAGGAGGAAAATCTTTTGATCATAAATCGTCTTCACCAAGTGCTTCGACCATTTGTACTTCGGAGGCTGAAACACAAGGTACTAAAACGATAACTTTCCTTTTCAGCCGAATTATTTTCCACTTGAAAGTTTGTTTGTTTTTTATTTTTTATTTTTTTATTTTGTTTTTATTTGGCAATTCAGATTTTCTTGCTTTTTGGTAGCGTGCAATGCAGCTTTATGTGTTTAAATTCTTACCATGTGATTGTACCATCATAAAAAATAATTCATATTTTCTACACATCGCCATGATATATCCATACTTCACAGGCTTATGAATTAAAGTTATCGGGTTTTGAAATCAATCTCCTACATGATGCTTTTGAGTCAATTCTTTTTGTTAGGTGGAAAATCAACTACCTGAGAAGATTGAGAGACTTATAAGATGTGAGGCTTCTGCTTATCAGAAGCTTCTGATGAAGAGAGTGGAAGACAATCTTGGGTCCATTGGAAGTACAAAGGTATTCATCCTTTTTTAGTGACGTTTCTTCTCTTGAAAACTAAGGTACTCAGACTACACTATCTATTGGATTACAACTATTCTGTTCTCTGACCTTAGAGACATATTCCTCAGGTTCGGTCGGTTCACAACTCTGTTATGGAGCTTCGTAACATATGCAATCATCCCTATCTCAGCCAGCTTCATGCAGACGAGGCATGTTCTTTTTACTGTTTCATTTAACTGCTGCCCTAAACTTAAGGAGGGAAAAGGAGAAAAAAATTTCTTGATGCCTTGATGTTTATTCATAACCCAAACCCTAAGTTGTTTTATGAGATGTTTTCTGCATCTTTTTAATGTTGTTTTTCCTCTAAATATTATTGTTTCCTAATTGTTTGTTTTTAGGTTGATACGTTTATACCGAAACACTATCTTCCACCTATTATTAGACTTTGTGGGAAGCTTGAGATGTTAGATCGACTATTGCCAAAGCTAAAAGCAACGGATCACAGGGTATGTTCCTCCCTCCTTAAATGTCTTCCCATGTTTTATGCCATTTTTTGTTTTGTAACTATTAGTTTTGGATTTGACATGGACGTGCAGATGACTGGTAACTTGGGTTGTTTTTATAGGTTCTTTTCTTTTCCACAATGACTCGGCTACTTGATGTTATGGAGGAATATCTCAACTGGAAACAATATCGGTACCTACGGTTGGATGGGCATACATCTGGCAGTGATCGTGGTGCCCTTATTGAAAATTTCAACCAGCCTGATTCACCATTTTTCATATTTCTTTTGAGGTGATTACGATGTTGTGAACACACGGGTAGAAAATAGTGAACGGAAAACACTGCTTTATTTCTTATTCCCTTATTGTTTAGATTGAAATACAGCCGGCCATAAAAAGGCTATGAAAACAGAGTAGAAAAAGAAAGAATAAAGAAGAAAATCCTTTCCTAATACAATAGGCATAAACCTATCATATTCCTTTGACCTAAGAAATTACCATAAATAGGTCCTAATCAGTCTAGATTCGTCCACACTCTCCCTCAAGTTGGGCTGTATAAGTTGTACATGCCCAACTTGTCCACTAATTTTTCAAATAAGGGTCTAGACAATCCCTTGGTCAAAATATCGGCAGCTTGCTCTTTTGTAAGGACATATGACATAAGGACTGTTCCTTCTTCGATCTTTTCCTTGATAAAATGTCGATCCACTTCCACATGTTTAGTCCTGCCATGATGTACAAGATTATGCGAGATATTTATGGCTGCCTTGTTATCACAATAAACATGCAATGGAAGTGTAACTCCAACCTTAAGTTCATCTAACAACATTCTCAGCCATAAAACCTCACAAATTCCATGAGCCACAGATCTCAGTTATGCTTCGGCACTGCTCCTTGCGACAACGGATTGCTTCTTGCTTCTCCACGTTACGAGATTGCCCCAAACAAGAGTACAATACCTTGAAGTAGATCTCCTATCATCAGCAGCTGTGTATACTTCTACACCTCTTTCATCTCCCTTTTTGAAGAACAAGCCTCGTCCAGGTGTTCCTTTCAGATATCTTAGGATGCGAAACACCGCTTCCAAATGTTCTTCAGTGGGTGCATGCATGTATTGGCTAACTTGACTAACAACGAAAGCTATGTCAAGTCTAGTATGTGACAATAGATTAGCCTCCCAACTAGACGTTGAAATCTACCTTTGTCTACAGGATCACTGTCTCTCATTCCTTTCTTGCAACTTGGCTCCACCGGAGTTTCTACAGGTTTGCAACCCATCATTTCTGTTTCTTTTAGAAGATCCAACACATACTTCCTTTGTGACACTGAGATCCCACATTTATTTTTGGCAATCTCCATTCCAAGAAAGTACCTGAGACTTCCCAAATCTTTGATCTCAAATTCTTTCACCAGTTTTCTCTTTAGTCTCTCCCCTTCTTCGAGATCATCTCCAGTCAATATAATATCATCAACATATACGATGAGAATGGTGGTCTTATCATTCTTGTGCTGATAGAACAACATGTGGTCTCCTCCGGCCTGCTTGTATCCTTGTTCTTTAACCACCTTAGTGAACTGATAAAACCAGGCTTGCAGTGATTGCTTTAGTCCATATAGGGACTTTTTTAGCTTGCAGACTCAATCACCCTTCTCCTCAAATCCCGGTGGCATCTCCATATAGACTTCTTCTTCCAAGTCCCCATTAAGGAAAGCATTTTTTACGTCAAGTTGTTGCAACGGCCAATTTAAATTAGCAGCAATGGATAACAGAACTAGAACTGTATTGATCTTGGCAACTGGAGCAAAAGTTTCTTGATAATCTATCTCATATGTCTGAGTATAGCCCTTAGCCACCAAACAAGTTTTGTATCTTTCAATAGACCCATCCACCTTGTATTTGACTGTGAAGACCCACTTACATCCAACCGGAGTCTTTTCTCTTGATCTTCTCACCACATCCCAAGTATGGTTCCTTTCGAGAGCTCTCATTTCTTCTAAAACAGCTTGCCTCCATTCGGACTTCTTCATAGTTTCTTGGATATCTCTTGGAATCTCCACACTGGCCAAGTTAGCTACAAAAGCTTTCATAGAGTTTGTCAGATGATCATATCCAATATAATGGGCCGTTGGATGTTTCGTACAGGATCTTACTCCTTTCCTCAATCCAACTAGAATCTCTAAGTCATTAAACTCCACTTCAAGACCTGTTGTTGGTTTTGATTCTTGGTGGCGAGGAACTTCCTGGTTTCTACATTTTTTTGGTTCTTCTTGCGACATAAGTTCGATAAAAAAATTGCAAGCCACTCTCTTTATGTTTATTATGTTCCTGCACTATAGATACTAGATTTTTTGGTTCATCAAGAGATTGATTTAGGATCTGATTTGAAGGGATGGATTGAGTAAGGACTGGTGGAGCTAATTTCGGGTTATATTTCAAGATCAATTTCAGGGCTATCTGGTGGGTTTATTTCAGAAATATTGGCTGGATTTTCCTCTTGATCTCCTGGTTTTTGAACATTTTCTGGCGGATTGGAAGGGATATGACTTTGGAATTCTAAAGAAGGGGCAAAATCCCAAAAGAATTCCCACACATTTGAATCATTTGAGGTTGAGATGGAAGTCGGTTTTGATTTTTCCCAAAAATTTTCTTCCCACACTCTCCCCTTGAAGGGAATTTTTGGTAAAAAAATGGTTGATTTTCAAAGAATGTCACATCTCTAAACACAATATTTTCTTTTCTCTACTGAATAACATCTACACCCTTTTTGAGTCGCCGAGTATCCTAAAAAAATGCACTTATGAGCCCTAGGATCCAATTTTCCCCAATGTGGATCAAGATTGTGAACAAAGGCAACACAACCAAACACTTTTAGCTCTAACAAAGATGGAAACCGTGACTGTGGGTATGACTTGTATAGGCAATCTATTGGGGTTTGAAATTTTAAGACGCGAGAAGGTACCCTATTAATCAGATAGGTAGCGGTCAAAATTGCATCCCCCTAAAAAATCTTTGGTAAGTTGGCTATCAACAACAAGGAACGGGCCACTTCTAAAATGTGACGTTTTTTCCTCTCAGGTACCCTATTTTGTTGAGGTGTGCTAACACAGGAACTTTGATGAATTATTCCACTAGTAGTGACAAATTCCCCCATAGTGTTTTTGAAAAATTCAGTCCCATTATCTGTTCTTAAGAATTTAATGTTCCCATCTTATTGTGTTTTAACCATGGAATGGAATTGTTTGAAAATACCCTCGGCCCTCAGATTTTTCTTTTAGAAGATAAACCCAACAAACACGTGTATGATCATTAGTAAAGGTAATGAATCATTTTTTATTGGTAACGCTTGAGATGCGGGAAGGTCCCCAAATATCGCTATGAATAAGAACAAACAGTTTAGATGCACAATATGATAATGGGGGAAAGGAGACACAAGTATGTTTAGCTAATTGGCAAATCTCACATTGAAATTTATCATTATTTTCAAACAAGGATGGAAACAAGAATTTCATATAAGGGAAACTAGGATGTCCTAACCTATAGTGCAATAACATAATTTTTTGAATTCTTGAAAGAGAGATGCTTGCAACCATTTGAGCTTGCCCATTGACACTTGAAAGTAGTATAGACCATTTCGTTCTTTAGCACTGCCAATCCTCTTCCCCGATGATCGGTCCTAAAAAATACAAGTAGATGGAGAAAAGGTCACTTCACAATCCAGATCTTTTGTTAACTTATTGACAAAAGATTGAAATTAAAATTAGGCACATGAAGAACTTCTTTTAGGACAACATTATCTTCGATTTTTACAGCCCCAGTACTAGCCACAACTGAAGAAGTACCGTCTGCAATCTGCACCTTGTGATTTTCAGGACTAGGAACATATGATGTGAATAATTTTGCACACCCAGTCATATGATCCGTTGCTCCAAAACCAATAATCCATGGTTCTCCTTTCTCGGTCAGTCCACAAAAAAACAGTTGAAGCTTTACCTTTCTGAGTCATAAGGGACATCGAAGAGGATTGCGCTATCATTTGTTTCAATTGTTCCATTTGTCCTTGGTAAAGGCTGTGGTTCCCATGATTGGTTCAGTTTCCTCTTGTTTCTCCATTGATGCCTGAAACCCTTTTCCTTCACGTCCACGAGTTCGATTAGAAGTCCAATTGGCTGGTTTCCCATGTAACTTCCAGCAATTCTCCCTGGCGTGATAGGGCTTTTTACAATGATCACACCATTTTTTGTTTGGTTTCCCTTCTCCCTGACTTTCTTGTCCACAGACAACTAGAGTAGAATTTTCCACATTTGACGTGGTGGTTTCTAACATGACTCTCCTCCTTGACTCTTCTCTACGAACTTCAGCAAAGATTTCCTCGATTTGAGGAAGTGGTCTCATCCCTAGTAGGTGACCACGAACTTCATCCAAATCCTTATTCAGTCCGGCCAGGAAGTCATACACACGATCATGTTCCACCAACTTTCTATACAAAACTGAGTCTTCAGAGTCTTTCCAAGAGGGAGAAGTGAACATGTCCAATTCCTGCCACAGTCTTGTGGCCTCATGATAATATTCCGTCACATCGCTCTCCCCCTGTCTTAGGGTTCGGATCTTGTTCCTCAATTTAAACATATGTGAGGTATTTTCCAAGTCCAAGTAGGCCATTGTGACTGCATCCCAAATCTTTTTAGCCGTGGGAAAGAGGATGTATGTGTCAGCAATATTATCTTCCATAGAATGGATTAACCAAGCCATCACCATTGAATTTTGCGCCTCCCAATTTGCATAAGAGGGATCCTTCGGATTTGGTTTTGGAATTGAGCCATCTAAATATCCCAGCCTTCCCTTTCCTTGAATCACCATTAGGACTGAACGGGACCACTTGAGAAAATTCTTCCCATTCACCTCCACTTGCTCCAGTCAAAGCCGTTCTATACATTGTTTTCTTCAACCGGTGGCTCTGATACCATGTGAACACACACGGGTAGAAAACAGTGAACGGAAAACACTGCTTTATTTCTTATTCCCTTATTGTTTAGAATGAAATACAGCCGGCCATAGAAAGGCTCTGAAAACAGAGTAGAAAAGGAAAGAATAAAGAAGAATAATCATTTCCTAATACAATAGGCATAAACCTAGCATATTCCTTTGACCTAAGAAATTACCATAAATAGGTCCTGATCAGTCTAGATTCGTCCACAGATGTCTAATGAGGATGCATACCTTTTGCTGATTTTCTCCTTGCTGGGTAGTTGAGTAAGTGACTAGGCCTGTGGGACATAGCATATATTCCATTTGGGGAAGTGGTATATTGGAGGAAGGGCTAGAAGGGCATGTTATGCATGGCTGTACAGCATGCCCAGGAGCTCACATTTAGTGTATAGGCTTTGTGGGCTTATGGTCTGAATTACATATTGGATGATTGGTCATTTCAGTTACCCAAGTTCCTACAATCATGCTGCTTACATAATTTTTCTTCTGCATTTGTGCTATTTTCTCAGTTCACTTCCCTTGAACCACCTTTTGAACTTACTAATATATGCGGACATACTTGTTGGGAAGGTTATAGGGTTCTGACTTTTTTTTATGTCATTACAGTATTCGGGCTGGTGGTGTTGGAGTAAATCTTCAAGCTGCTGATACAGTGATCATATTTGACACCGACTGGAACCCACAGGTAATAATATATAAATTTATAGTTTTCTTTAATTCTTTTTTATTTGGAACCGTAGACTCTTCTACGGAAGATGGTTTAGTTTTCTCATGGCCTGTATTCATTTTTCAGGTGGATTTGCAAGCACAGGCAAGGGCTCATAGAATTGGCCAAAAGAGGGAAGTTCTTGTTCTGCGGTTTGAGACAGTAAGCTATGATGCCTTATTGCTCTTCGTTTTGGACGTTTATCGAGCATTTAATAACTAGTATTTTCCTTTATTTTTGACTAGGGATTTGTATTCTGCCACTTAGGACGTGTATGAGTGATATTTGTATACTGACCTTTTATTGGTAACCGAGGGACTAGGCGAGGCATGTCTTGCCGAATTTTATATCTTTTAAACAAAATTTAGGAAAGTGGAATGCTCTTACTTTCTACGCATTTTAAGTTCTATGCTCATGTCATGTTTAACATATGCTTCTCACTTTCTCTTTGGTAGATTTGTCCTGTTGATCTCTTTGGTTTTTCTTTGTTTTTTCTTCTTCTTAATAATATAAGAAATAATTTTAACATGTTTTAACCGGTTTCCTTTTGCAATGTTTGTTGACAACTCTGATCTCCACTAATAATGACCCCGATAATATACTCAAAGCTGCACTAATAATGACCCTGACTATATACTCGAAGCTGCACGTGAGTTTTAATTGGTTGGTTTATTGTTATTTTCTTTTTGAGTTATTGAAACTTTATTATTGAGCTTCATCTGATTCATTTTTCCTTTTGATTGTGTGGATTACTAAGCTATCATTGGTAGTTGGGTAGATGTATAGATCTGAAACTAAATAAATCAGCTGAAAATAGCCTAAAATTTTATATAACAAATCATGGATGTGTCTTCTCTGTATTTGGTTCCATTTAGAAATGTAATACTGCGCTGAAACCTGTGGTTTCTAGATTATCATATATATTTTCTGTTGCACCAAGGTCCAAACTGTTGAAGAACAAGTCAGAGCTTCAGCTGAACATAAACTTGGAGTGGCTAACCAGAGTATTACTGCTGGTTTCTTTGATAATAATACAAGGTAAAATGTTGTCATCTTAGCTGAACTACATTTTGCCCCATAGTTTAAAGCAGGTCCCGGCGGTTTTTTGACGTTTGATTTATAACAGTGCTGAAGATCGAAGGGAATATCTGGAGTCCCTTCTGAGAGAGTGTAAGAAAGAGGAAGCTGCACCTGTATTAGATGATGATGCTCTGAATGATATCTTAGCCCGCAGGTAGATATTGTTTGGAATTTATTGTTTTGTCTATCTGCACTTCAGTTTGATTTGATTGGGCGCAGGAAAGCCATCATTTATGCTTTTCGGCAATTAGCATTTATTTCAGACGTGCAACGGTTCATTTTGGTTTTGTATAACTATTTGGCATATCTTGTGCAAAGTTGCTTGATTTCTTTCTTGAAGTTTTACTGCTATAAACTCATTTCATTTTCGTTTGGTACATGTTCTGTCTCGATCTCAAGCAACCATGAATTCTCTGTTCCTTTCAGTTTGTAAGAGATATGCGCGACATAAGCTGCTTGGGAATTTTCACAACTGGAAGATATTTTTAGTGAAACTGAGTCTGATTTATTTGTTTATTTATTCTTTAGAATGTAGATTATTTTATTGGTTGTGTATTTTGCCATAGCTTTCTACCTAGTGTTCTCTGGCGTAAGTATGTTTTTGTTGTTAGTATTGAAGCATTTTTGCATTGGGTTTGCTGGACATCTTACTTCTCTAGCACCCTCCCTAAACAAATATGAATTCCTTCATTTTGAAATTTATTTGATTAACTTTCATCGGCACTGTGCAGTGAGTCAGAGATTGATGTCTTTGAATCTGTTGACAAACAAAGGCGGGAAGCAGAGATGGTATGCACTTAAGCGCCTGTATCCAGGCTCTATATTTGATCCTGCACTTTGTGATTTTATCCGGTTAGTGCTTGTTGTCTGTGGGGACTGAAAACTCAATCATGCAGGAAACATGGAGAAAGCTGGTATGTGAACAGTGGACTGATAATTCTGAAACTTTACCTCCCATGCCTTCTCGTCTTGTTACAGACGACGACCTGAAGGAATTCTATGAAGCCATGAAGATATATGAAGTACCAAAATCTGCTGTGGTGTCAAATGTTGGGGTGAAGCGGAAGGGTCAGTATCTTGGGGGTCTCGATACTCAACACTATGGAAGGGGCAAAAGGTCAAGAGAGGTATGTATATGCATGATTCCTGTAGCCTGAACATTTACTTACTGATCTGTTTCTAAGCTCATTACTGTAACATCTTGCCTTGCAGATTATGATCTTTTATTATTATTGTAAATGTTGTTATTATTATTATTATTTTATTATTTTTTGAAGGTTATTATTATTATTATTATTATTATTATTCAAATGTATGATTCCTATGCCTGAACATGTACTCACTGACACTGTTGCCCCATGTTCTATACTTACTATTTTGTAGTCCAGCCCTGCATAACATCTTGTCTCATAGTCTATAGACTCCTTCCTTATTATTTTTTTAAAATGTCTCCTATAGGTTCGTTCCTATGAAGAACAGTGGACAGAAGAAGAGTTCGAAAAATTGTGTCAAGTTGACTCCCCTGAATCTCCTTCTAAACCAAAGGAAGAAATTACAGATGCGAAATTGCCAAAAGATGCCAGTCAGGCTGTAGTGGCTGCAGTCAAGACAGAAGAACTTCCAGCTTCACCTGTCGTGCACCCACCACCACCACCACCACCACCACCACCACCACCACCACCACCACCACCACCACCACCACCCCCCGCTGTGCAGCAACCAAATTTGCAGCAGAACAAAGACGTAACTCCACCAGCCAAGCGAGGTCGTGGCAGACCGAAAAGGGTAACAATAGATCAATCATCAAGTGCAGTGGCTCAAGCACCTTCTGGACCTGGCAAGGTGGATCCAGGTTTACCGAGAGGAGCAGTAGCTTCCTCTGAAAAAAATTCTCGTGCAGATTCTTTGCCAGGAGGTGTCAGTGGGACCACACATCATGTTAGTGCAGGGATGATTCTTAGCCCTCAACCGGTCACTCCCCTCTCTGTTACTCCTGGTTCTCAATCAAGTGCTGCTGGCTCCTCTGTGCCCGCTCAAGTACGGGGACCAGGTCGGAGAACCCAAAGTGGAACAGAAGCACCTAGACGACGGGGGAAAAAACAGGGGCCAGTAACACCTACTGTTACTGGTGCTTTAGTCTGTCCAGATCCAAAGCCAAATGAGTCTATACAGAATAAACCTGTGAATTTGTTAGGAAATCATGCTGTTGTCATGACTGGAACTGTGGCTTCTATTCCTACAGCCCAAGGTCCTGATTCTTTATCGGGAACTGTGGCTACTATTCCTACAGCCCAAGGTCCTGATTCTTTATCTGATTCTGCTACTTTACAAGGTACTGGTGGAACTGATCCTCGTCCTGCTGCAGGCGTTGTCTTAAATTCTCTGCCTGCCCCTCCACAAATTGTTGCCCCTGGTTCTGTATCTTCTCCATGCCCTTCTACTCCTGTGCAAACGAAAGGGCAAAGCCGGAAGACTCAGAGTGGTGGGTCTGGACCTCGGCGTAGGGGAAAGAAGCAAGCACTAATGTCCCCCCCTGTTCCTGTTGTGTCAGCTGGCGAGGATTTAAAACCCACTTTGGAATCACAGAATAAGACAGAGGGTTCATCACAGGGTAACAACATGAAGAGTAAGCAAGAAAATGCTCAGGAACCAACAAAGATAAGCCAGGGGCAAGTGGCTCAAGTATCTGAAGGTGTGGCAAGTCAAGATCTAAAATCAACCGAACAATCAGTTGACGTAGCTCGAGGAAACCAGACAGATGGCTCAGCAACCACGCATGATAGTGCAAGCACATCCCTAGGTAAGTAGTACCCATGTTTAAGTGTCGGTTATTTTCTGGAAACAAAATTAAGCAATAAAATTAATGGTTTCAATCTTATGTTGAGTTGGAATGATGTTATTTGGAGCTAATGTCTTTTTTTTTTTTGTTGCTTTGTTTTTGTTTCTTCCTGTTCTGTATTTTCTCTTAGCACTTTTTATTTTGAGGATTCCTCGTCCTTTTCCCTTCTTATTGATTCTTTTCTCAATGATTGTTTTTTTTTTAATTTAAAAATAATTCTTGCGCAGGCCCTGCCTTGGGAGAAAGTCAAAGTGCTGGTGTGTGCGTTGCTGCTTCTGCAGTAAAGGAGGCTTTGCTTGAAAATTGCTCATTTAAACCTGAAACGGGTAAACTTCCAGGAAATGAAGTTCTGGTTGCTCCAGCTGCAAATTTATTGGGTAACACGGTCCCTGAGGGCATTAAGAACCAACGTTTGGAGGATAAGTCTCTTCCAGCTACATCTACTTCGAATAGTGCTGCTTCAACTGCTTCTTTCCACAGTTTTAGTGCCACAGAAGGTATCATGAAGCATCTTGTTTCCACAAACATTGCTATCAGCCCTCAGTCTACCACTAGTTACGCTTCTGTTCCTCCAGCCTCACAACCTATCCCTCCTTGCCCGACTGAACCCATGCCACCTAAAAGGCAAGGTCGAAAGACTCCGAGTAGAGCAGAAGCACCCCGTCGCAGAGGAAGGAAACAGGCTGCGGCATTTTCTGCTGTATCTGATGGTTCAGTTAGTCAGGATTTAAAATTAAGTTCTCAGCCCCAGAATAGAACTACTGATAGTTTGGGTGGTAAATCTGGTGTCCTGAGAGGTAAGCACGGGACTGAAGCACAGGAACTAGCTAATGTTATGCAGGCTCAAACAAGTGAAGTCCATCTGACGACTGGTGTTCATGATACAAAAAGGAAGGATCAGTCCAGCCAAACTCTGCAAATGAAGCAGCTGCTAAACCCTCCAGTAATAGTTGATAGTGCTGCTGGATCCTCTGATAAAAACTCCGTTCTTGGCCGAATCCAGACAGCTGATGTAAATGATGTTGCCCGTGTGATGAAGGAGGTATTTTCAGGAACTCGCTTGTCGAGGACTAAAACTGCCGAGACTTCTGGGAAAGAAGGTAGGGTTGGCCCTAATGTTCCTTCAAGTAAGACTGGTTCAGAAGTGGCCAAAAATAAAACTTCGGAGGCAGCAGCTTCTGTATCTGACGTTCCAGTGAAGTATGACAATCAATCCGACACAAAAGCAGAGGGGATAAGTACTTCTGTTTCAAATGAGACCTCTGCGCATACAACTGATGTGGGAAAACCTGAAATCATGACCACTGCAGTCATTTCTGAAAAAGTGGCTGATTCAGCTGAACTTGCTCAACAAGATGCCATTAGGGTCGGTAGTACAAAAGCCTCTGGTGCTGCTTCCCTTGCTACTGAAGAAAAGTGTGAAAATCTTTCTCAGGTACAACCTCCTGCTGCGGATCTATCTTTGTCTGTGACAACTGGTAATGAGTTGAATTCATCTTTGGTATCTGCAACTGCCATGGAGCTTGTGGTGACTCCAACTGTTTCTGAAAAGAAAACTGAACCTTTGTCAAAAGAGTCTTCAAAATCTTCTCACCTTGATGTTAGTGGTAAAGAAGTACAGCCTCCATCAAAAGAGTCTACTAAACCTTCTGTTGATATTGGAATCCATGAGAATCCCATATGTACTGTTTCTCTAGATCATTCTGGCACCGTTAACTTGCAGGATGGCTGCTTTGACAAGTTTGATTTGCCGTCCATGGAAACTGAAGCTGTTAACTCTGATGAAACCATGGCTGCCGGCACAGAATGTTCATCAAAAGGTGATGGTCTTGGATCTGGTGATACTGCCTCCAAGTTTTCCAATTTGCATGATGCTTCTTCTAATAACAGAAGCTTAGAGCGTCAATGTGTTGATATCAGTAACAAAGGGGAAACCACCTCAGAGCCTGTGGACTCGGTTGCTGCTGAAAAATCTGGTCACACTGAGCTTATCTTAGAAGATCATGTCGGAATGCCACTCTCAGAGGATGGTCAAAGCATTGGTGGTGGTGTGGCTGAAGTTTGCAACATGCAAGTGGACCCTTCCGAGAGTGATAAGCCTGATATTTCTATTGTTGGTACAGTATCTGAAAAACTATTTAAAGATGACTCTAGTGTTGGTGGTACTTCATCAGAAAATTTGTTAGAGGAGACAATTTTGCCTTCTTCCTCGGCTACAGAAGAGAATTTTGATAACTCTCAGAAAATTCGAGTTGGCAGCTCTGGATCACTTGAGGAGCCAAAAGGTTCTGCTAAACATAGTGATCAACTGGATGTTTCCGCTAAACATAGTGATCAACTGGATGTTTCCGACGGTGGTTGTGTGTCAAAAAATGGATCAGATCACTTGCCTCCTTCTTCAGTGGATGGGGCAGAAAAGGTTGAGGGTTCATATGAGAAGGGGCCAATTCACAGTTCAGCACCTCTAGAGGCAACAAAGGGCTCTGAAGCGGAGATTGATGATTCCTCTACAGGTGGGAAGATTTCTACAACAACACCAGAACCTTCTTTGTTAGTGCCAGAAGATAAGATTGAAAATCCATCAGAGAAGGATCCAGGTTGCAGCTCAGTACTTGCAGAGGAACTAAAAGATTCTGAAGCACAGATAGGTGATCAGTTGGACTCCTCTTCAGCTGGGGAGATTTTGCCAGAACATACTCTACTGCGCTTATCTTCTTTAGAGTCGGAAGGAGAAAAGATTGATTGTCTATCTGAGAAGAGTCCACTTTGCAGCTCAGTTCCTGAAGAAACGAAAGATTCAGAAGCTAAAATGGATGTTCAGTTAAATTCATGTGAGGATGAAGGGGTTTTGCCCGGAAATATTTTAGAGCCTTCAGCTTCTTTGGATGCAGAAGGGGAAATGATTAAATGTCCTTCTGGGATGGATCCAGTTTGCGGCTCTGTTTCTATGGAGGAACAAAAAGATTCAGGAGCTGTAAAGGATGATCAATTGGATTCATACGATGGCTCTGGGGTTCTGCCTCAAAAGGATTCAGAGCCTCCATCCTCTTTAGAGACAGGAGAAAATATTGGCTTTCGATCTGAGAGGGATCCAGCTTGCAGCTCAGTTCCTCTTGAGGAACCAAAAGTTTCGGAAGCTGAAACGGCTGTTCAACTTGATTCACACGCTGATGGTGGGTGTTTGCCTGAAGAGATTGTGACAGGGCCTTCACCTTTTGTAAAGTCAAGTGATCAAAAGATTAAGGGTTCACCTGAGCAGGATCTAACTTGCAGCACAGTGCCGGAAGAAACAAAAGATTCTGAAGTTGAAAGGGATGCTCAACCTCTGAAGGATCCTGAAGATTCTGATGGAAAGATGGTTCAAACTGATTCGTCTCAGGATGACAGGATATTGCTAGAAAATGTTATGCCAGACGATACATGTCTTCCGGCCTCTTCAATAATAGAGGAAGAAAAGATAGAGGGCTCTAGTGAGAAGGGCGTGGACAACCTGTCTGTTGAACTTGAAGGGTCAAAAGAAGTTGAAAATGAGACGGAAAATAAAATGGAAACATTACAGGTTGGTGGAAATATTCCAGAAAAGATGGATTCAGAAACTCTGGGTCTACCTTCATCTTCTTTGGTGGTAGAGGAAGAAAAGACTGAGGTCTCTGCTTATAAAGAAAAGTTGAACGAATTAAGAGGTTCTGAAGCTGAGTTTGGTGATGTGGATCCATCCCTAACTGGTGGAGTTCCTGGAAAAAATTCACAACTCGTGAATAGACCTTTTTCTCCCTTGGCTACAGAGGAAGGAAACATTGGCTCACCTCCAAAGCTTGCAGTTGGGAGTTTAGTAGAAATGAAAGAATTAGAAGGTTCTAAAGAAGTTGCTGATCAAATGGACACAGATGAAGTTGCTGATCTAATGGACACAGATGAAGTTGCTGATCAACTGGATGCTTCTAAGATTGGTGATTTGGACCAAGAAAATACATCAGTAACTGTGGCACCTTCGTCTACCTTACAAGAAGAAGAAAATATCAAGGGCTCATCTGAGTTTATTCCAGTCAGCAGCTCAGCACCGGTGGATGAATCAAATACTAAAGATGCTGAAATGACTTACCAGATGGATGAACCTGAGGTTGCTGGCTCTTCATTGCCGGCAGAAGATACTGTATCAGAAAAAGTGGATCAGTCTTCTACGCAGGAAAATAAAGAAATTGAGGGCCCATCTGAGAAGAACCAAGCTAGCAGCCCTGTATCAGAAGAAGTGGACCAGCCCCCATCTACGCAGAAAAATGAAGAGATTGAGGGCCCATCCGAGAAGAACCAAGCTAGCAGCCCTGTATTGGAAAAAGTTGATCAGCCTTCATCAACACAGGAAAATGAAGAGATTGGAGGCTCATCCGAGAAGAACCAGTCTAGCAGCCCTGTATCAGAACAAGTGGATCAGCCTTCGTCTACACAGGAATTTGAAGAGACTGAGGGCTTGTCCGTGAAGAACCAAGCTAGCAGCCCTGTCCCACAGGAAAATGAAGAGATTGAGGGCCCATCTGAGGGCTTGTCCATGGAGAACCATGCTAGCAGCCCTGTCTCACAAGAAAATGAAGGGATTAAGTGCCCATCTGAGGGCTTGTCCATGGAGAACCATGCTAGCAGCCCTGTTTCACAAGAAAATGAAGGGATTAAGTGTCCATCCGAGAAGAAGCAAGCTAGCAGCCCTGTATCAGAAAAAGTGGACCAGCCTTCAGCTACGCAGGAAAATGAAGAGATCGAGGGCCCATCTGAGATTAACCAAGCTAGCAGCCCTGTCGCAGCGATGGAATTGGAGGGTTCTGAAGCTGGGGTCAATGATCAAACAGATGCATCCCAGGTTGGTGGGATTCTGCCAGAAATAAAATCGATGTTTACTAGGGTCTTTAAGGCTTTCCAAACGATGCATTCCAGTGGGGTTGTCAAAAAAAACTAAGGAACCGATACTTGAATAAAATTAAAGTTGGTCCTTGAATGCATGAGATGTCATATTCGTGAAAGCTAAAATGTTCAGAGATTAGAAATTGCCATTGCCATAGTATTGCTCGCCTTTTCAAAAAACCCTCTTAAACTAAGCCCATTCCAAGAATATCTTGTTAGATGCATGATATACGTATTATATGTATAGAGACAGATTTGTCTTCTTTCTTTAACAGAGATTTATGTATATATAATTATTATGCTAAAAGTCATAAACTTGAATTTACTTTCTTGTTCTTGTGACTTCTGTTTGATATTGTGTTCAAACTCAGGCTAGCATGGTGTTGCGAGAAAATGATATTCCAAGTAATATTGACCTGCCCACATCTTCTGTTGCGATCGAGGAGATGGAGGGAAAGATGTCCGAGGAGAAGGAGGATGTGTTGAGCAGCTCATCAGTATTAGAGGCATCACAAGGAAGTACATCTGAGTTGGCGAATCCGGTTGATGATTCTCGAGATTCTGGGATGGCATCGGATATTGTGCTCGAAAACATGGATCAGCCTCAACAGTCCCAAGCTACAGATGGCGATAATGAAATGACAGGAGCGCCTGAGAAATCAGAATCAGAAGTTAAAGCGGGAGTCGCTTCTCCTAGTTGTGATATGGTGCCCGAGAGTCCCAAGTTGATTAGTTGAATGTATTAGTTTGTTGTACAGCTACAGTAGGGATTATATTTTTGGAGCAACGGTTCTTCCATAACCCAGTTATAGAATCTATTAAATTAAGAATTGTTATTGCCCTGTATAAAATTCATAATATATTTTTACCCTCACCAGTTATATAATGAGAGATTATTTGTACCAGCACATTTTGATCAATGAGCTCAAATTTATTTAGATGAGAAGATTTTCTCATTCCATGGCAGGTTTTTTATTCTATTAATTGGTAAAATATAACATATAAGAGTGTTAATGAGTGAAAATGGAATGCCATGAATCGATGCAGGTTCATATGAGGATTTTTATCTTTTAACTCTAGAGAGAATTATATGGCGCTCCCTTTTAGTGATTAATATTCATGGCTAAAAAGGACTGGAAGTAATGGAATCTTAGAAAACGATTGGTTGAGATTATAATTATTTTTGATTTATGTGTATTTTTTATAAGAGAAAATACTGTAACGAATCATGAACCATGATTTAAATCATGGTATGAATTTTCTTACCAAATATCCTATTAAAGATTCTATTAAAGATTCTGTTCTTCAAAATTTAAAAAATTCAAAAGATATTTGAAGGTGCCCACACACCGTTGACTCAGAAAATAAAATGGCGTTAAAGATGGAAAATGAACTGGAATTGTGATGTGTCAAATAGATAACAAATATTTTAAGGATAAAACTATTTTGTCACCTATCGAAACATGTTGTTAATACTCATTACTTTTAATAATATTAAAATATTAAACTAACGCTTTTAAAAAATGACTTTTAAATACCTTGAGGCTTTTCTTTTGGAAGTAAAATGTCCGTTTCTATCATTCTAATTAATTTGTTTAAAATCAAGCTTTACGAGACGTATTAAAAATATAAAAAAACCATAAAATAGAAAAATAAAAAATAAATTCGGATTTTATCATCTTCCACCTCCTATTTGTAAGCATCAATAAAAATAAATTTGGTAATTTATACATTCACTCTTGAACTGGTTGGGTTTTTGTCAACTTACCTTTTAAACCTTTAATTCTTGCACATTGCTCAGTTAACTTGCAAAATCTTGCAATTTGCCAAATTTTAACAACTTTGGTATGATTTTTTCAAGGGATTGAAAGTTAAGGAATTGAGAAATTTGTATTATAATTTGAATTGAAATGTTGTAATTATTTCTTGATTTTTTTCATCACCAATTTTCCACAATCATCATCAAGAGGCATCATATTTCAACAATTTTACAAGTTAGGAGGAAAATTGTCAAAATTAAAAATTCATAGCACAACCAACACAACAACTTTCTTCAAGTTAGAGAGCGATTGTACAAAATACTTAATATATATGTATGATGGTGTAGACCTGGGTTTTTACAATCAATATAAAAAATAATTGATTAGAAAAGAATATCATAGAAAGATGAACTAGGGTCGTTGATGACCGTTAGAATCTTCATTCTGTTAGCTAAGCTAGAGAGAGTAAAAATCGCATGATACACAATTAATGAATAGAATAAATGCATAAAATAATTATTCAACATCAAAATTTATAGTGATTCACTCTCAGTAGAGAGTTACATCTCTAAAATTGCAAGTCAATAAGGTGGGTACACACCTTCTAAAATGTCTGGATTTTCTATTATAAAGGTCTGATGGGATGGTTATTAAGGCTGTCACCACCGTACTTCTTATTAAGGGAAGGACTATGAGTGCTGAGTATCTCGACAGGTGACCATGGAGTAGTCAGATAGGTGACTGGTGAGAGGGTAGCACTCAAACGGATGACCATTGGGTAAACGAAATGGTAATTGTTGATCGATGCAAGCGACAAGTGACTAGTGAGTAGCGATAGCGAAAAGTGGCTATTCCCAGTGAATGGTTACGATTAGTAGGTGAAATCGAGCACTAACAAATGGTTATTTTGACCATAAGATCTATAATAGTTGTAATAAATTAGGCAGTTAAAAACAAATAATTTGTGATAATTAATCATATTATATTCTTATCACGCTTTATTATTGAATTTTTATATTTGATTAAGACAGGCAATTTGAGTAACGATACAAAGACACAACTCGAAATCCGCACAAAGTTGGCGGGTTTTAGTTTACTATAAATGGGTTTGGATCATAATCAGGTTGACACGATTAATACGATTAATAAATGAGTTGAGTTATGGTTGACTTCCTAACACGAAGTGACACGAATTGACATGATTAACTATATGTGTCATTTACAATCTAATGATATGTGATATAACATGAAAGTTTATATGGCATATTAAATACAAATAATGTGAATTTTAATATTTGTAGGTAAAATTCATTTATTATTCTTAAATAAAAAGATAAATTGACCAATAAACATATTAAACCTGTCTTGACCGTGTTAAATAAGTTATTTTTATATTAGTTATTTATTCAATATATTAATTTAAACGGGTTGACACGATTAATAAATAGGTCGTATTTGAGTTGACATTTTTTACATGTTTAATAAACATGTCGCGTTTGGTTTGATGTTTTTTGACACGATTAATAAACGGATTGACACAAACACGACCCACTAACACGAATTACCACCCTTATATTTGACAAGTAAAACCACTAGTGAAACGTATTTATTATATATATGTGTGTGTGCAGGAGCTTCCCGACAATCCTATTATTAGTGTCAATTTCTGATTATTGGATGTGGTCAAAATTACTTTAGATTGATAAAGTATGTAGAATAGACAGTTCCTGTCCTGATACCTAATATGACAGCTAAAAATAGAGTAGTTCATTTTTTCTGGTCATATAGCTCTCACACACATTGGCCTCGTTCGTTTCGCTGATTCAAGTTTAGAATTCGAGTTTTGCTACAGTAAAAAGCTCTCACAAATAATCACATCTAACTTTTTTGCTACAGTAAAAAACTATCACATACAATCACATCTCAACTCGAATTCTAAACTCGAATTAGCGAAATGAACGAGGCCATAATTCCTCTCTCAATTTAAGGGGTAAAATGGTCATTCAACCTATTAAGGGCAAAATAGTCATTGCACATACCAGGGGCAAAATGGTCATTTCGAGAAGACCCGTTAAAGAAATGACCCATGAGCTGCGTGTAACCTAATTCAAATGTTCGTTCTTCTGAAATCATCAGAACCCTAATTCCTGCTTCGGGTGTTTCCCCCTGAAACCCGTTCTCTGATTTCTCATGCGTAATAGCAAGTAAGCTCTTCATCTTTTTTCTGTTTCGTCGTAATCAAAATTTCATGGGTTTTCATTAGTTAATTTTCTCTTTTACCTTTTCCCAAATTGCAAATCTCTCTTCCTCGAAGAACCCTTTAACACATCCCACCATTATATGGGTTCATTTTCCTTATAGCTTAAAAAACTCTTATTTTTTCCCCTTTAATTTTAAAAAGAAATGTTTAATTTCTCTTTTTGTTTACGGTTGACCCTCTTTAATGGGTTTGGGTTAGTTTTGTAAGTTCAACAATGGTGTTGCATTTCTCTTGTACTAAGGGCTTACTTGTTAACAATTCTTAAAATTAGCCTTAGGCAAGCTATTTTAGTGGTGCCCGTGAAGTTGCTTCTTTTTTGGTGTTGGCGGAAACATTTGGATTTAGTAACTTTTTATAAGTTCCTTATATATTGTAACGTTTTAGTAACATGCTATTGCGTTATGTAACTGTGAATTTAAGTCCATATATAAAAAAACAATGGAAGGTTTTTCTTGATTTGTTTTTATATAGGACAATCTCATGCAATTGTGCTTTTTTTTTTTTTTTTTTAAATTAGGTCTAAAATGGATGAATGATTTGCAGGGTTGTGCTATGTAGGGTTTGTGGGGATTTCTAGCATGCTTTTGGAGGCTTCAATTTTTAAGTTGTCCCTGTCATAATAGAGGAAGCATACGATGTTGTAATGTAGTCTTTGGTTTGCTTATTTATTGAAGCAATTTGACTTTGGTTCTCCTAATTAGTGATGGACTGTAATAAGGAAGAGGCCTTGAGGGCCAAGGCAATTGCTGAGAAGAAGATGCAAAGCAAGGACTTTGTGGGGGCTCGTAAAATAGCGTTGAAGGCCCAACAACTCTACTCTGATGTTGAGAATATTTCTCAGATGCTCATGGTCTGTGACGTTCATTGCTCCGCGGAGAAGAAACTATTTGGGGGTGAGATGGATTGGTATGGAATTCTTCAACTTGAGATGTCAGCGGATGAGGCAACAATTAAGAAGCAGTATAGAAGGTTTGCGCTCCAACTTCATCCTGATAAAAACAAGTTTGCTGGTGCGGAAGGTGCTTTTAAGCTGATTGGAGAAGCTCAGAGAATACTTTTGGACAACGAAAAACGTAAGTTGCATGATTTTAGACGTGGGGGTGGGGTCCGACCTTCTATGCAATATCGTCCCCAAGCTAATGCCAATTGGACCTCGAATGTGGCTCGTAACACCAGCAGAAGCAACCCTTCAGGTGTGAATTCCCAAAATCAGCAGTCACGACAGCCAGCTCAGCCAGGATACGCTGGTTCCCAACCAACCTTTTGGACTGCCTGCCCCTTTTGTTCGGTGAGGTACCAGTACTACAGAGAAGTTATCAATAGATCTCTACGCTGTCAAAGTTGTAGTAGGCCCTTTGTAGCATATGATGTGGAGGCACCAACAACAGCGGACTTTACTAGACCAGTATTTCCCAACCAGATGAACAATGCTCAGAATGTTGAAGCACAATCCCAGAAAAATTTTGGAACTGGGAATCTCCGAGCAGAACCGGTTCAAAATGCTGGCAAGAATGTAGGCCGTTCATCTACTGCTGGTACAGGAAAGGTGAATCAAACGAGAGAAAAGAAGCGAGCTCGAGATCAGTGTGAACTCTCCGGCTCTGAAATCTCCGATGAGATTAGCTCTGATTCTGATTCTGAAGAAGACATAGAGATTGATGAGAATGGTGATCTTCAGGGTGGACGGACCTCTGGTTATTCCGGAGAGCAAAGTGTTCGCAGGTCTTCTCGCCATAAGCAAAAGGTCTCATATACAGAAAAGTTTAGTGATGATGAGGATGATGACAACTTTGAGAAGAACCCTGTAGAAAAGGCAAAGAGGAAGAGATCATCCTTTTCCACTGGCGAGGAGAATGGAAAAGCATCTAAAGAAGAGTCTGCTAAGATGAAAAATCAGTCTTATTTTTCTGCTAACAACAAAGAAGATGAGAAAGAGGTTAAACAGAAAGAAGCTGATGAAGAATGCCTACAAAATGGGGAAAAGAATACGGATTCAAGCTCTGAGGATGCTCTGGATTCATTATTCAGCTATCCCGATCCAGATTTCAACGACTTTGACAAGGATAGGAAAGCAGGGCTTTTTGAAGCAGGGCAGATATGGGCGGCTTATGATGATTTGAATGCCATGCCCAGATTCTATGCTAGGATCAAGAAGGTATTATCTCCTGGATTCAAGGTGCAAATGACCTGGTTAGAGCCGGACCCGGATGATGAGAATGAGATCAAATGGCAATCTGGGGAGTTGCCATTTTCTTGTGGCAAGTTCAAGTGTGGCAAAACAGAAAAAACAGATAATCTTCCTATGTTCTCTCATCGAATTGCTTGCGAGAAAGGCATCGATAGAGATACTTTCTTGATATATCCAAGATTCGGGGAGACCTGGGCTCTATTCAAGGACTGGGATATTAAATGGAATCGCGATCCAGCTGCATATCGAGTGAAGGAGTGTGAATATGAATTTGTTGAAATCTTGTCAAATTACACTAAGGGTGTTGGAATACACGTTGCTTTGTTGAGAAAGGTGAAAGGGTTCGTGAGTCTTTTCTGTCGGACAGAGGAGGTCGGTAGGAAGACATTTATAGTTCCACCAGGTGAGTTATTGAGGTTCTCCCACATGATTCCGTCCTATAAAATGAAAGGCAATGAAAGAGAAGGAGTGGCAACAGGATCTTTAGAACTTGATCCTGCTTCTTTGCCAATTAAGCTTCTTTCTTCTTCAGTGTTCGATCCTGAATCAAAACCCGACATGAAGAGGAGCCATTCACAGCCTCAGCAGAACAGTTATGGCGTTCATTCAGCTTTGACCCCAGAACCAATGGAAGTTCCCGAACCTATATTTTACAACTTTGATGCTGATAAAGCAAAAGAAAAGTTTCAAGTTGGCCAGATCTGGGCATTATACAGCGACGAAGATGGCATGCCAAAATACTACGGTCAGATAAAGAAAATTGATGTTTCCCCAGTTTTTGGATTGCATGTTTCATGGCTGGGCTCTTGCTACCCATCAGAGAACTTTATTGGCTGGTCCAATGGCAAGATGCCAATTGGTTGTGGTAAGTTTAAGCTTAAAAAGAGCGAGTATCAGTCGTATGATAGCAGCGATTCTTTTTCACATCTGGTAAGAGCAGAGCCTGCAGGTAGAAAGAATGAATATAACATCCTTCCTAGGACAGGTGAAGTTTGGGCATTGTATAGGAATTGGAGTGCTGACGTCAAAGATTCTGACTTGAAAAACTGTGAATATGACATAGTGGAGGTCCTCGTGGCAAATGATTTACAAACAGACGCGTTGGTTTTATGTCGTGTGGACGGGTTTAACTCTGTTTTTAAGCCTCAAGTGCAAGAAGGATCGACCATCGGCAAGAGTATTCCCCACACTGAGCTTCTCAAGTTCTCTCACCAGATTCCTGCTTTCCGTCTGTCAGAAGAGAGAGGTGGCAAGCTTCGAGGCTGCTGGGAACTCGATCCTGCTGCCATGCCGGTTCAGAGATCTTAGCAGGACTGAATAACTTATTTGATCCAATGCCTCTCTAGAATAGTAGTGTGGAAAATGGGGATGATTTGGACTACTTGGACTTTGGTGCATCGCAACCCGCAAAAAGTGCATACTGCATATCTCGTCTTGAATCCTTGATAGAAAGCTTTCTGTAGTTTAGAGTTTCTCTCTCTCTCCCTCTCTCTCTCTCTGTTTTTTTTTTTTTTTTTGGGCTGCATTTTGGACTATTTTTATAGAACAAAGTTGTTTCATTGTGTCCAAGGTCCAGCTGCATTCTGGAGATAAAAAGGATCTTGCAGGTTCTGTATTGCAGTCACAGTTTCTTACTGTGTTAGTTTGTGGAGTTGAAACCTACTAATTGGCTGTAATTTTGGCCAGCAAATTCTTGGTGGATCAGAGGATGTTTATACCCATGGATATCTTCAAATGCATTGCGCTCTCTCTCTCACACACACAAATCTATTATTTGCAGTGATGGTCCTTTGGTTTATTCAAGCTTTTTGAATACCCACTAGGGAATCGCATGATGTTTGTACACTAACTGCAATGCTCAGGATGTAGAACCCTTTTTTTTTTGGGGGGGTTCTTTTTTTTGTTTTTTAAGCCATTTTCCCCAAAAAAAAAAAAAAAACCCTCAAAAGGCCATAGTAATTGAAGCTAAAACCAGAAGTGGGCATGCAAGCCATGTCAATAGAACACACCAAATTGTTATCTCCGCACCAACTGGTGAAAAAAAATAAATAAATAAATAAAGAGTACGAAGAAGAAAAGAAAAAGGCCTAGTCAATAGAACGTATTCAAAATGAATATAGGGAGTAAAAGCAAGACATATTTATACTATTTTTTAACATTTTTTTAGTAGAAAGACGTATTCTATTTTAATCTATACTAACCTATTAAGTATGCATTTAGATTAAAATAGAATACGTCTTTTATAAGTCAGTCTTATCAATAGTGTTAATTTATTACCGTTAGATCATATTAAAATCATATCATATTAAAAGTATACATAACATATAATTTTTAATACAAATTTAATAGTTAAAATTTAAGAATTACCGATAGTTTTAGTCCTACTAGAAAAACTCTTTTTAATCTATACTAGCTTGTTAAGTCTACATTTACAGGCTCTCTTCAATTTCTCCATTCGTTTTATATCACATGAATTTAGCTTTAACTAAAGGAAACTCCACTCAAAAGTCAGTATGAAGAATTAAAAAATATATATATATATGATATATCAAAGGAAAAATATAACGTTCATAAAAAAAATAAAAATAAAAAAGAGTTTCGAACGATTCAAAAAAAATTTAGGTTAATATAAAAGTTTCGAAACGATATCGCAAATGGGCATTTGGTCTAGTGGTATGATTCTCGCTTTGGGTGCGAGAGGTCCCGAGTTCGATTCTCGGAATGCCCCTTCCTCACATCTTATGTTTTTATCCTCTCTTTTTTTAGGTAATCCCAATTTAATCTTTTTCCAAATTTAATTTTTACGTCACTAAAATTAACAAAAATAAATTCCATCAAAACAATTTAACCAAAAAAAAAAAAAAAGAGTGACGCTATATAAGGGATTTTCCCTCCAAAAAAAGGTCTGGCCCTAACTGGTCTGTCTGGTAGTTTCCTTTTTCTTCGCATGATTCCAATTTTCTCTCTTTCTTGTAATCCTTCACTCCTGGAGATTTCTTTGATCTTGCTTTGTTGAGATTTCTCTTTCACTCATGTGGATTTGTTCTCGCTTCGGAATGTGTGCAGAAATGGTCTCTCTCGGCGACGACAATGGCGGTAACAACGACCCGATTAAACCAGATTCTCCTTTCGTTACGTCCGATCAGCCTTTCGATACCTCCGATGGCGAGACTCAGCTCTTCGACAGCCAGAGTTGGAGCCCGGAATATATCGGTAATCAAGTTGTGGCTTTTGTGTTAAACTCTCGTTTTTTAGCCTCAATTTTACAGTAGAGAACTAATTTTGGTGGAATTTGAAAATCCAGTTCTTCAGATAAAAATTCATATATGAGGTAGTTTAATTGTTATTATTTTTTAAGCCTCTTTTGCCAACTCAATTTACTGTAAATTCGTTTTTAGCCTCAATTCTGTAAAGAACCAATTTTGGTGGAATTTGAAACTCCAGTTCTTGAGATAAATATTCATATATGAGGAATTTTAGTTGTTCGGCTTTTTTTTTTTTTTTTTTTTTTTTTTTTTTTTTTTTTTTTTTTTTTCTCTTTTGTGAACTCAATTTTCTCTAAAATCGTTTTTTAAGCCTCAATTTCCTGTAAAGAACAAATTTTGGTGGAATCGGAAAAGCCGGTTCTTGAGATAAATATTTGTTGGCGGTTGATCATATATGAGGTAGTTTAGTTGTTAGGATTTTTTTTCTTTTTTTTTTTTATAAAAAATTTTAACCTCTTTTGTGAGCTCGTAGGTTGTAAAATTACAAAAACAAAAAAAAAGTTGTTATTTTACGATTTGATTTGAGACTTGAAAAAAATGTTTGATTAGGTGGAGGAATGGAGGAAGTTGGGCACGGGGATGACTTGTTGCAAAGTACCATGCTTCTTGATGATACTGAGATGGTTGAAGATGCATTTGAAACCCAAATGGTAGATCTCGCGGGTGAAACCCAAGTCACAGATTTCGGAGGAGAAACCCAAGAGGCGGATATTTGCGGCGAAACTCAAGTATTAGATGATGATAATTGCTTTGAGCATATGGAAACCCAGTTATTAGATGACTATGGAAATGAAGATGTTAGTGACAGTGACGGTGAAGGGAGTGACGCCACTGAAGTTTTGGGTGATAAAGATGACCTAACTGATGATTTCTTAGTAGGAGAAGGTGAATGTCATTCAGTGGACAAGAAGAAGGGTCAATTTTTTCTTGTTTGCAACAACGACTTGAAGTTGATCGAGCAACCCAATGGTGCAAGTCATCAGCAGAACAATGGAGGTTGGTCTTTTGTAAACCACATGAAGAAGTTATAATTTAAGTATCTAGTATTGTAGAGATGGTTTAACTAATTTTCTAAAGGTCAAGTATTCTTGATTGGAGAATTGTATTTTGTATTATCTAGCACTCTATACATGCAATAGCTAGAATAGGAAACGTTTTATACTCTTGATATATTGTTTATATTATATATTGGTTTGATTAGTAGGAATTTCTTAAGTCTGGCAAAAAGAAAAGGTAGGACTTTTGAAAGAGACATCATTTGCTAGCTTTGGCATCTGTGTTTGGTTTAGATAGTCTTATATATTCAACCCGAATTTTAATTGCCACAAATTACTTTTGCATTAAAAGAAAGCTACTAGTTTTAAATGCATTTAGACTTTTTTCTATTTCAGGGTTTCATGTTCCTATTGCAACACCCGTGCCTCAATCTTTTGTCACTGCAAAATCTGGTGCATGCTCTTCTACTTCCTAACTGGGGAATCTGTTTCGTAATCTGATATTTTATAAATATTCTTTGGCGTATCTTGATTGTGGATTAGCCATTGGAAAGCGTGGTTTAGCATGATTTGCAATTTGATAGATTGATTATATTGATGTTCTTACTGGTTAATGAATTGTCTCTGTATCTGTTCATTCTAAGTTGTTTGCCTTATTCCAATAGGAGTGTTTACGGTTAAATTGACATGCTCACATCTCTTAATTATTAACACTCATCATGCTATATGATGATTCAGGTAAAAGCGTGCAGTACCAACTTGTAATACTAATTTTTCTTTTCCAAATCACATCTTTTTACTTTTAGCAAGAGTTAAAGTTGTAATAGATTTTAGCTCTCCCTTTATGTCATATATTGCTATGGTGAAGGCCAGATACATTAGCATATACGTTCACATCCACCTTTGTTATCTGGGAAGTTGAGATTTCATGTTTGGTCAGTTTAATGAGTGCATTTTCTGATTAAGAGTGCATTTGAGAGAATTCATTAGTCTCCCTGTCATTTCAGGATCTGGGACAATGAGATTTACCTCAGTTCGTGCAGCATCTTTGCGAGCTTCTGGATTAGCAGCTCGCAATATGGCTTTGAAGGAAACCAAAAGTGCATCTTCATCCATTCCAACTAATAATCTGGCCTCAGAAAAAACTGATGTTAGTGTTACTGATAATGCAGTATCTGCAATGGAACCTGGGAAGGAAGGTGATCAAGAGCGAGATCTTGGGAGATACAATGGAATAGTAAATAGCTCAAAGGATGAGAACATGGCCAGAGGTGGCAATTTGACGGCGAGAAAACTTTTTACTGAGGACTTAGACATTGAAACAGAGGAACTTCCTCGAGATACAAATGGAGGTGAAGAATTGGTGAAGTTGCGTACTTATGATCTGGCAGGGTTAAGCTATGTTGATTCTCAAGAACCTGGAGAGCTATCACAAGCTAATGCACTTGACTTTGTGGATAGGTTTATTAAAGAGAATGTGGCTGAGTTCGACAAAGAAATAGTGCGTGGAAGTACTGCAGGAAATTCAAAATGTGTTTCAAGTATAAAAGGGCCACAAAAGTTGGCAAAGAAGGCTAATGAGCAAAGTATGATTGGAGAACTAGGCATTTATGATTGGGATGATAGCCATGAAGATGAAGGAGGGGGTGACATTTTTCACAGAAGAAAGGAAGACTTCTTTGGTGGTGGAAGCCTTGGAAGGAGACCCTTGAAGACTGGAGTTAATGGACTGCACGAGCTGAAGGATGGTAAAAAACAGGTAAATGGGAATGATAAGAGGATGGACATATTTAATTCTGATACAAAATTGTTGTTGCGCAATCGCGAAGTTGACAAAAAAGTTAATGAACCTGAAATGAAGTTTAGAAGGAATCTCATCAATGAATTGGACAAACAGTTGGAAAAAAATCCTACCAAGGCAGATGTTCCAGAAATGCTAGATGTAGGATTTGATACTCAGATGGCTGCTGAAGCTATGGAAGCCTTATTTTATGGTGAGGACGCTGCCAACTGTGATGTTAATGATGCTTGTCATGGTGTCAAAAAGAATTCTAGTTCTCTTGAAGGTCCAAAACAGCCATCATCAAGAAAAAGATCATGCCTTAATGTTGTAGGGAATGCTTCGGGTCAGTCCATGAAAACTAGGAGGGTCGGTGCCATCTCAAATAATGTATCTTCAGTTTCTTCTGAGAAACAGTCTAAGAATGTAAGAAAGCAGAAAGAAGTGGTCTTGGTTACAATGAAATCCGAGAATTTCAGGAAATGGTCTCAGGAGAATATTAAGAAAAGAAAAGCAGGATCTTTAGAAAGAGGAATCAATTACGTGGATGATTGCACTGCAACATTAAGTGGAGGTTCTTCACTTAACAAACAGCATACGCAGGAGAAGATTGGTAGTTTGGAACCCATTGCCCATCGAACTAGACGGTCAGTGAGGAATACAAATATAGGCATTCGGGCTTCTGCAAGGTTGTCTTCAAAAGATGCGCAATTAAATAAAACTAAAAATACCAAACCAAAATTAGATGAGAGATTTGAGAAGATGGAAGCTTTTACTGATAGGAGCAAGAATGATGCATTAAGTTGTCCTAGAAGGAAAAGATCTTGTAGAAATTTGTCATGTCAGATTAACAAGTCTGATAACATAAATGATCGATCTGAGCCATCTGCTACGCCAGAAGCTGGACGGACTAGCAGTGAAGACAAAAGGTCATGCGGGAAAACTGGGTTATCTATAGATGGTCAACATGTTCTGTCTTCTGTTGACCTGGATTTGGAAGGAAAATTGCCACAGAAAAGATTAGAGAGGGTGGGTTTTGGGAATGCTCAAAGTGTGCAAACAAGTGCGAGGTTGGATGAATCGCCCAGAGAGAAACTTAGACCATTTGATTCATCATGTACTACTCCATTTAACTGTAAAGTACCAGTTAGTGAGGTATCACCCGTTTGTATGGGTGATGAATATTTCAATCAATCACGTCGGAGAAGTCTCTCAAAGTTTCTTGTGAGAGAAATCAAATTTAGCATCAGTGGGCCTCAATCTACAAGTCCACCAAAAGACTTGCGGAAAAGGAGGGAAATTACTGATGTTCGAGTCTTGTACAGTAACCACTTGGACGAAGATGTAATTAAGCGGCAAAAGAAGGTAATTTTATCATTTATCTCATTTTAGCCATGCACTCACCAAAAAGAGAATATATATATATATATATATAT